CTTTGCTGGGCACCCTCGAAGGTCGCCCTGCCGTCTGCCCAATTTACGATTCAGACACGGCTACATTTCAACACATACGCACCCATACGCCTCTATTTGATTGTTTGTGTCTATGTGGGCTTGTGTGTGTGTGTGTGTGTGTGTGCATTTCAGTTAGTTCAGGGCATGCTCTGGCATACTTCTAGATAAACTGGCCGTCATTAATCAGAGGGCTGCACATTGTTTTTCACGCGCGCGATTTTGTCATGCTAACAATTAATGAATTGTTTGCATTCTGCAGCCCACAAAACTGGGTCACAACAGATTTATAATAGATACACACAAACACACACACAGAAGGAGGCAAGAGTCCCCCTTTAAAAAGGGAGCCTAATGTATGCAAGTGCACGCAACAACAAAAGGGACGAGAAATACAAACAATTTTTTCTCGGTTTTCCCTCGCAGCACACACACACACACAAACACAAAAGTAAATTAATTGAATTCTGTAGTGAGTTCAAATCAATGTCCAACACAGCATTAGGATGCCCTAAGTGGAGCAAGAAAAGTCAATGAACTTTACGTCAATGCTATCTTATTTCGAAACTCGAAAGACCTCCGATAGCCATTGTTGAGGAGTTTCTCTTTAATATTATTACAAGTCTGTTTATGATGCAAAATGGAAACTCTAACAATAAACAGCCTTTAGCAGGCAATATGTTCACAAACATCATAAATATATATCATGTTGGCCAACAAGTTTCTGTGTACGTCGACAGCTGGGCACGATTTAGTGGCATTGAGAGTTTCGCTAATGAATTTGCGTATTGCGCAATGCATGCAAATTTGATCAAAGCACCAACTGGAGGAGGCATCTGTCTATCTGTCTATCTGTATGTCTGCCTGCACATGCCTTGTTGGTTGTTGAGCTGCAGCTCGGAACCAAACCGCAAATGACACTACAAATGTGAAAATGGCGCTCAAACGCAACACGGAATGCCCCCACAGCAGATAACTAGGCAACGTTGCCGACAGTAATGATAACAACAACGTTTTCACAACCGCAAGCCGAGCGACCAAAACGTCAGACTCTGCGGCTTTCACCAGCCTGGGAAGCATAAACAACCTACTCAAGGCGCAAGCGACAGCAAATAATTTGGACCATCCACACAGACAGACACACCAAGAGACACAGACACAGACAGAGGCAGAGACAGGGACAGACTCCTACGGCCAGACAGAGTGCAGGAACATGGCCTACGGACGAGAGAGAAACGCTAAATCGCGCCACACCAGCGCCATTCTTCACTGTCGTTGACTTTTTCAGCCATAGAAATAAAAGGCCACTTAGCAGGCTTTCCATGTATCGTCCAGACAAACATACCACTCCCAAATGCTAGCAAAGGGAATGCGGTGGGCGGCCCAGGGAAGCAGACAGCCAGAAGCAACCATAGACGTCACAAACTATTCACGGCTCTCCACTTTTATACACTGAATAGCGACTATACAAAGTTCCATCCTTAACCCATTAAAAAGGACTTGCCCGGGTATAATGAATCTTAAGATGCGTGTTACAGTCGGAATAATGGACCGGTACAGCTTGATTGTAGAAATGAGTAGAGCTCTTAGCATTAACATTTTTACAAGTTGCTAGAATATCTTTACAATAAATATATTATTTCTTTATCTTTAATATCTTTACTTGGTTTATCAGAGAAACTATATTTGTCGAAACCTTGTTTGCTTCGGTTTTCGTATACTTCACATAAAAGCATCTTGATGGCACGCACTCGAATGGATTGGTTTATTTAGGGTATCTAGTCGTCGGCCACTCAACTCAACAAGACTGCACACTGAATTGTTTCTGCCTAATTCAGTGGCAGTAAATGTAGATGTATTTGCTTAGTCGACGAGAAGCTGAGCGCATGAAGTGGGATTGCAACGCAGCTGAGTAGCAACAGAAAACCTGAGGAAATCTTAGATTTTAGTTACATATATGTACATAGTTTTACTAATAAATAAGTACATATATACTCCACTCCCTATTAGTGTGATTTGATGACTTGCTGGTGAAATGCTAGAAATGCGGTCAAGTCAATTGAATGCCTGAGCTATGGAAGCTTGCCTAAAACTTATTGCTCTCTGATTTACCAAAGGGAACTTCTTATCTACTTTTGATTGTTAACCCCAGCCAAGGGTCATAAGTTGCCAGCTGCTTGAGGCGAAAGTTGCTCTTCACTGAAACTCCTTTGACAAGGAAGCTTAAGAATTCCATTGAATGACACTATGTAGAATACATTATATTCAACTTGGCTACTCTGTGTACTCTCAGTAATGTTTCAAGCAGCAAAGAAGTATTACTTGGAATCTATGGGATACATATAATACACGATCATATTTAACCCTTAACGAGACTTGAGAGACTTGATAATAATTTTGAATGCCTCTCAAATCAAAGCAAACCTATATGCTTTTATTTCATATTCTAAGTAATCCAAAAGTCATAAATAAATAGTTTAGCTTAAAAGAAAGGTATTCACACAAATGGATAAAAACTTTTTCTGTAAACTTGTTCTACTAAAAAACCTCAAATCGAGAATGCTTGGCGAGGATTTACCGCACATTCTGTATTTGAATGAAATCCATGATAATTAGAAGTCTTAACTTATCACCAAAATAGAGATTAATTATTGATTAGATGTCATATTGCAAACATAAAGATGGATGTGTGGTCTTGCTTTACTTGACCCTATTTGTATTGCTTAGTTTATTCGATTGGAGGTAACTACTCTGGCTTAAAAATAATAACTTGAAACATTATGTATCATTATAGTAATGTATTGTCATTCATTTTAAATCCACAACTAGTTATACCTCAATAGCAACGCACAAGAAACGTTTCACCATGACCTTAATTTTATCATTTTAATTGAAGTAGAGCAGAGCTAGAAGAGCATCAAGTGTGTGAGCTGTGGCTTTAGTTAGCGATTCAAAGGAACTCGGTCACTTTGAAAGTTATGATGATGTCAACGAAATCATGAAATTTACATTTGTTCGCATTGTAGCTCTATGTCCCTGGCCTTCTATTTCCGTGTTAAAGATTGTAATGCGGGGTATATTAGTTCAATGTTTAGCAGAAACAAGCGTCATTGTACCACAAATGAAAATAATAAAAAAATGTTGACAAATTTCAGTCATATATATATCTACAAAATTTAGGAAAAATTCAGACGCCCAACACCCTGATTGATGAATAAATTACTTCGCACAGTGCGAGCCCCGTGTGAATATCAATAATTAAAATAGAATCGGGCGCATCGTGAGATATTTTCTAGTCATTTATTACTTGTTTTGCCACACATGTGTAAATATGTGTACGTGGTATGTACGTAGTGGCATTTATTTAAAATCCACTTTGGCTCATCGTTGTAATATTTCTCTCTTTATATATCTCTCTCCCTCTCTCTCTCTCTTTCTCTCTCACTCTAAGAGCGTGACAAACATGCAGCAACATGTGTAAATAAAATAAACTTCGTTTAAACTGTTTGCATAATTAATTAATGTCAAAATTGCAGCAAAACACATTCTGCATTGCTGTGCATGAGTGTATGCGTGTGTGTGTGTGTGCATTGTTTGGCTAGGGGCGTGGCTCACGCACAATTACAATCCGCTCACATACAGGCACAAAGTAAGCCGACAGACTGCCAGATAAACAAACAATTGCAACAGTTGCACGGCACGAATGGCATGTCAAAGGATTTAGTACGTGTGCATATGCGTATGTGTGTGCGAGTGCGAGTGCAAGTGTAAGTGTGTGAGAGTACAACTTAACCAGCATGTTTCTATCAAATTTAGCATGCATAGTACATGCATATAGAAGTATAACGCCGGGCCGGGCAGCAG